GTGTATATATTTATTCAATAAGATTGTATATGTATATTTATTGCAATCTAATTGGATGTGCATATACAATAAAAGACATTGAATACGTGCTGGTATATACTATATAAAAAAAGATAAGTTCATATATATAAACAGAAAATAATATGTGAATGACTTTATTTTTTATTTTTTTTGTATATATAGGTAGGTATGTATATACAAAAATTAATTTGTACATGACTTATTATAAACGGAATTTTTTTTTGAATTTGAACGTATGGCTTGAAAATAGGGACGTTTCCCTAAAATTGTGGCATTATCTAATAAAAAAAAATTTATATACAAAATTAAAAACACCTTTAATAACTTAACTATACCCATATTATGTAATTAGGTAAACTATACCCATATAATGTTATTTAATCTAATAAGTTTGCCATATATGAAATTTTCCTATTTGAAATTCCTATTTGGCTATACCTTAAATAGGATCCTTCAATTTGGCTATTTTTGCACTCCTCCAAAGTAAAGCCGACTCGAAGGTGCAGCCAAGCCAAGCTTTCCGCTAGGGTTTAGCCCAAAACCCTCTAATTTCATTTCAACAGTAAATCTTTTCTCCATTAGCATACATCCTGAACGCTTCTCCTTTCCCATGGCCATCGCCGCCGCTAGATCCATTTTCCGGTCACCGTCCCTGCGTAATGCGGCATCAAGGATCGCATCGGAGGCTAAAGCCGCTCGATCTCCCTTGCGCACGCCTTCTAAAAGTTCTCTTTCTCATCGCATCTTCAGGTATTCTTTTTTACTAGTAATTTCTAGAATATTCGGTTTTATAATATGTGACTGAACAATTTATGCAATTCAAAAAGGTGTCCTTCTGAGATGAGCGCTTGTTTGGAGTCACTGCAACCATACCACACGGTTACTGCTTCGGCTTTGATGACTTCTATGCTTACTGACTCTCTCCGTAGTTACAGTTGGCTCTCAGAAGGTGATTTTTCACTCTGTTATTCTCTTATTGAGCTATGTTATTGATTAGTTTGATTTCTGTTGGTATTTAGTTAATTAATTAAAACTAATAATCTTATTGTTAAGCCAATCAGCTATAGAATGCATTCTGCCTCATTAGTAGTTCATGCAAATGTTTGAGAATTGTGCAAAATTAGTCATCAACTGATCCAGACTGGAGTACTCAATCAAATAAGTATTAAGTATGCTTTAATTCCAAAATCAGTTTTATGAATCTTTTGTTTTATTCTGTTTGATTTGTAGAATCAATATTCAGTGATAAATTGTAGACAGACTGTTATTTTTCTTTGATAATCGAGAAATTTCTGAGGACATGGTCAAAACACTATGGGTAATGGCCCCTGCTTCTGTACTTTTCACTTGAAAACCATCCTTTTTCTGTGGAATTGATGTGTGCGCGTCCTGTGTCTTTTACTTAAAGACCAAAGCCCTGGAGACCAACTATTATTATGTTAGTTGTCTTACCACAGTTCTCTTTTATTTGGGTTTAGATCTGCCATGCTTTGCGAGACTTGTATATCAAGAGTCACTAAGGATATAAAATGTATGTGGAAATTCAAATGACATCTTTTCCTCTCTCACGGGGAACAAAGTTGTAGTTGTCAGCTTTGCTGTGATTGCATGTGATCAATTTTTACGACAAGTGGTTCTGAAAGGATCAAATTTAGCTGTACTTTTGGGTTTCATGCTTTTTATCTTTAGCTCTCTGTATTTGCTCTTTTAATTTTGTCATTGCTGGGGGAGTGAGTGGTGTTAATTTGGAAGCAGGACTATTAGAATATTAAACTGTAACTCGCCTGTGAGTATCAATCTAGTAATTAGCTGAAGATGTTCATGTAAATGTTTTTAGTCCAGGAGGAGTTATAGCTCTCTTCTTCATTGAAACGTCCTGTACTGGCTGAATTTTCCATGATTTCAAGGTGCTTGAAACTATTAACTAGGTGACTAGCACCTCTGCTGACAACCTTCAATATTGCGGATGATTCCATTTCAACTAGACTTGACATCATTTTGTTCCACCTGAATGAATAAGCCAATATAAGTTGAGTGACCTATTGCGTAATACATCATTGCATATACTTTTTCCTCCTGATGTCTGGCTCCCTTTTCCTTCTTCTCCTAAAAACCGTAACCATTTGGCAAGAGTTTTGTGGTGTCTCTGTATCCATCTTTTATATTTCTCTGACCGACGAGTTTTCGTTTTTTATATAGGTATCTAGCAAGACCTATAGGACCCTCATTTGATGTCCTTTCCTCATTTACTACTTTGGTAAGTCAATCAAGTATTTCTCTTTAGTGTGTCTTGGACATTTCCGAAGTTTAACATGGACCTTCTATTTATAGTTTGAATAAATATTTTGCTACTGAGCATGACATATGGAGCCTCCTTTGAAATATCTCTGAAACAATTTTTTTCCGTAGTGTAGTTATGTCAAAGGCAGAGTAATTGTCAATAGTCTCTTGCATTCTCTTCATTTTTAGTGTTGCCCATCACGTACTTTCCGGTTCCTTGTCACTTTGATTAAGTTTTGGATGCTTCATTCTTCCTGTTGTAGGCGTTGACAAGACTAGATGAAGAAGGAGAAGCTTAGAGGACTGAATTGGATTCATTTATGTTTGGAAGCTTTCAATTTAGAAATTGTTACTTGCATAAAATTTTTGTTGACCGCTTTTGCTGGATCAGAAATAATGTATGATGGTTGTTAGGGGTGTATAATGACAGAATATCTGTAGATTTTGCTGATGAATCTTGCAATGAGATGTTTATTTCATATTTTTTGTGCATCTCTGGCGCATTTTCATGTATGTCTCTTGCAAAAGTTGTCATTGAATTTAATAATATGGACAATCAGAATCATGTTCTCTTTGTTTGGTCACTAAAGTAGTTTCAGGATGTCTTTCTAGACACACCTGGTAGAATGGGTGCTTACGATTTTAATCTTTATTCGATCAGCCCAAAATGAAGACGTGTGATGATTTTTGGAGAGCTGGAGCAATAATGTACTTTCTCACACTGGCGCGCTAAGAAAAGATGGCTCCTTTATTTTTGAACTTGGTAATGCTAGATTGCAAGTTAGTGTTACCATTTGCTTACTTCTGACTTGTGTGCCTCTCTTTATTTGTTATTTGACGGTTTATCTTTCTGTTCATTGATGTTTCTTCAGATAAGTTGAGCTTTATGGTAACACTAACTTCTTGTTAATCATGAAGAAGCTACACTTTCATGAGTATTTAGTGATGAACTTAATCGTGTAATATAAAACTACATATACTTAATATTTTACTTTTTAGTCAACGGTTGAAGAAAGTAAAATTTGATTCAATAGATGTATGAAGTTGATTGCGTAGACAAAACAAAAAGGAAATAAAGGTACGATATATATTATATTACAAGGTAAGAAAAATTGAGAGTATATTGATTGATAAATTTTCTATAACAATGTATTTTCTAGATTGATATTAGCTTATGGATATTCTTTTAAGCATTCTACATTAGGATCTCCATGATCTTCCTTGTCCAAAATAGTAAGTACTTCATTCCCAACATCGTCTTCCTCTACATTAATGTCGTCTTCTAATTGCAAAGATGAATCAATAAGTTCTTCAACGTCGTTCATATTCTCATTGCTAACTCTGTTTTCGTTATCATTGGGGTTTCTCTTCTTCTTTATCTTACAAATTACATAATCCTTGTTCTTAATTTCTCTAGCATCCAAATAACCATCATTCAAATAGTATTCCGTCATCAGCCACTCCCCATTAGCATTCTTGTTATCACTTTTGCCATAGGTGTACTTCAAACTTTTCACGTATTTTATGAGTCTACCTTTGTTGTCAAAAACTTCTTTTCCCTTTCCTTGTGGTTTCCACGTACCCTTCCCCACAGTACGCGAAACTCTCTGCGAATTTTGTTTCTTCTGGGGCGTTATGAAGTAACGTGTGTAGCTCTTAGCCCCTTCAAAAATTTGCCACGGGTCGTTGTCCGCATAAAGATTAGTGACCTTTGGTTGGGTAATGGTTCATCTCTCGTAAACCCTACTAAATACTTCATGACTTCTAAATTCTTAGGTGAAAAAATATATCCCAAACGACTTCCCTTACTTCGAGCCATTATTTTAGTGATTGATGAAACAATAATATATTCACTCCTAGTATAATAATTGTTTAAACAAAAAGAGGGAACTGATAGAGATTAAAGGGGAATATGATATGATAATTATTTATAGAAAAAGAGAGAACTGATAGAGATTTAAGGGGAATATGATATGATAATTATTTACAGAAAAAGAGAGAACTGATAGAGAATAAGGGAAATGTGATTTGATTATTATATATTTATAGAAAAAGAGAGAACTGATCCTACAGAATTAAGGAAATATGATGCTAATGAGGAAAAAGAATAAAATTGGAAACCAATTAATTTCAACTATGGTTTAAGAGTTATTTTAGTTTAATGAATATTGACCTTTAGATAAAAGAAAAATTGCCACATGGCATCAAATTAAGTTTCTTTTCTCCTGATAGAAATAATTTTTTTTTTATGTTAATCCTAATTAAATAAATTATCACTTCTAATTATATCACCTTCAAAAAAAATAAAAAATATATATATATATATATCTTTGGAAAGTTTTGGAAGCTTCTTTTTTATTCCTTAGTCGAGATAGTTTGTTGATGTTAATTATTCAACAAAATGTATTTTATTTTAATAATAAAGGAATAATAAAATCGATATATACCAACACAAAACAGTCACTATATTCTCAATCCTAATGATTTTATAATATACCCAACTTTTGTTTTTTCTTTACTTTTAATCGCTATTAGAAATATATATTTTTTTATCCATTTTCACTAAATTAACTCACAACTATAAAGAAATTGATGGAAATATTGAAAAAAAATTCTAATTTTATTTTTTTATAAAAATACTATTATTTATTCTTCTTTTTTTTCACCGGTTTAATCTTATTATATTGACTAAAAGTTGACTACTTATCAGAAAGAGGTGTAGTGAAGCTTTTAAGCGACCTAGTAATTTACTAACTTAACTTTTTGTCTAAGTGTGAACATGTTGTCTAACGTGTTCAAATAAAATAGTAAGTAAAAGTACACAACTTTTTACGTGAGAAACATTCAACTCAAAAAATGTAAAAAAAGATCACAAACTTATAGGTTTATAAGTTTTAACTCCAACTTCACTGAATCAATGCGTCTTAACATTTTAACTTTTAAAATTTCAAACTCTGTAACCTAAAGAACTAATTCTAATACCTAAACTTCAAGTTATAAATTTAGATTGCAACTTTTACAATCCTAATAACTAGGATCTAATCCCTAAACTTCAACGCAGACTTTTCAAGGTAAATGTCCCCAAATCTTCTAGCTATCCCGAATTGAAGATAATATTCTTAATTTAGCTTATAACTCACTGAACTAAGATTACGTCAAGACTCAATCACAAAGAAATACCTAATGTCATGGCATTTTAATAATAATTAAAAAAAATTCTCAATATAAAATTATAAATTTGAGTCTAGGTATCAAGGATGACTTGTGTGCTTACTGACTCTCTCTGTAGTTAAAGTTGGCTCTCACAACGTAATTTTTCACTGTGTTATTGTCTTATTAAGCTATGTTATTTGATTAGTTTGATTTATGTTGGTATTTAGAGCTGACAATTTTATTTGTTAAGCGTATAACCTATGAAAAATGTGTTAAATAATATTTTGATTTTTGTTCGATATGAATATTGTAGTTTTTTTTTTCCAACAATGACTCCCATGTTCTATACACTAATTAAAATTACAAATCAATGTCAAATGTGCCAATCAGAAAAATGCAAATTAAGAGGTAATTCAGAGTAATTAGCAAACTAGAGTAGTAAAGGTGTTCATGACATTATCCATATTATGAGATAGCAACAAACATTTTGAATTTTACATTTGATTCGAGAAATTAAAATTTTGATTTTACTAAACCACCAATTTATTCCTTTTTTGGCGTTTTTCTGATATCAATGAGCGCTTTAGTAGGCCCTAGACACGAATGTTAGTTATTATCGTCGTTTATCGAAGTTTTCATTCAAAGCTTATAACACTTCTTCCGATCTTTAGTATCGAGCATGTGCTAGATTCTATACATCGTGTTACCACTTATAGTATTATATAAGCTCTGAATTTCAAATGAAAAAAACAACTATATCAACGTGTTAGATTCATAGAGCTAATAAGATGCCTAAAGAACAAAAAATGTTTAGTACAAAAAAATCAATTTATATTACTTTTCGTATAAATTTTTTAGTACTTAAATTTTTATTTAAAAACGTTGAAGTAATATAATCTAATTTAGTTTTAAAAGTTGATTAAATTGACTAATAATTAAATTGAATTCACAATGCAATACATTTTTACAAAACACAATACACTGCATTCTTTCGAATATTATTTTCACAAAACGAAAGAATAAAAACTTATCATTTTCATGAAGGCAATTGCAATTCACGATGATTTAGACCTATATTATAATTAAATATAGAATGAAATATAATACAACTAGAAAATGATATTCTATTTGGTATACTTATGTGAAATGTTAAAATTTATTTTTAAATACTTTTAGAATATTTTTAATAAGTTTATGTAATAATTAGATCAACTGGAAAAAAGTTTTAAACTATAATCCAAAAGACCTTATTTAAATATTTGTAGCGTTAGATAATGTATAATAACTTATATATGTCTATTTATATTTTATGAAGTATACAATAATGTTCATCATATTCTCATCGCTAATAGATTTTCTCTTCTTCTTTATCTTACATATTACATAACCCTTGTTCTTATTTCTTTTGCATCCGAATAATCTTTGTATTACTCACTCGGTATTCTTGCTATCACTTTTGCCGTAGGTGTACTCCAAATAACTATTATACAAAGAGTATTTCGTCATGAGCCCCTCGCCATTAACATTCTTGTTATCAATACTCTTAGTATTAATCGATCTGATATTTATGTGACAATCTGATTTGTTTTGAAAATTATCCAAAATTATCTATTAGCTATTGCATGAGAACAATCGCAAAGCAAAAATTCAAAGTCATTACAATAACTTTTGCAATGACTATCCCACTTATAACTCATATAAGAAAATTTATGGCTTGAAATAATCTCCTCGAGCATGGTAAAAGAAAAATTAAGGGTATATTAATTGATTAAATCTATATTAGAATGTTTATTTTCTAGATTAATATTATCTGATAGATGTCCTTCTAACCATTCTACATTAGGATCACCATCCTCTTTCTTGTATACAATAGCAAGAACTTCATCCCAACACCGTGTTACTCTACGATGTCGTATTCTAATTGCAAAAAATGAATCAATAAGTTCTTCAACGTCTTTCATATTCTCATTGCTAACTCCATTTTTGTTATCATCGTTTGATTTTCTCTTCTTTTATCTTACAAAAATTCACAACACTTGTTCCTAATTTCTCTAGCATGCAAATAACCATCATACAATTCCGTGATTAGCCACTCGCCATTAGTATTCTTGTTATTGTAGGTATACTTCAAACTTTCACGTATAAGTATACCTTTATTGTCAAACACCTCTTTTCCCTTTCCTTATGGCTTCACGGACGTCACCAACGTCTTCTTTGTCCATCATAGCAAAAACTTCATCTCCAACATCGTCTTGGTCTACAATAATGTCGTCTTCTAATTGCAAAGATAAAACAAATAAGTTCCTCAACGTCATTCATATTCTAATGGATTTCCTCTTCTTTTTACATATTACATGACCCTTGTTCTTAATTTCTTTTGAATCCAAAAATATTCTGTCATTAGTCACTCGTTACTAGCATTCTTGTTATCACTTTTGTTATAGTTGTAATTCAAACTTTTCACTTATTTTCCATAAGTCTACCTTTGTTGCCAAACACCTCTTTTTCAATAATCTGTCATGGTTCATGGTCTGCATAAATATTAACCAACTACGTATATCGATTCTTATTGGGAAGTGGTTCATCTCTCATAAACCCTACTATATAATTCATATTTTAAGTTGATTCATATTGGTAAGTGGTTCATCTCTACGTAAACCCTACTATATAATTCATATTTTAAGTTAATTCATATTGGGAAGTGATTCATCTCTCGTAAACCCTACTATATAATTCATATTTTAAGTTGATTCATATTGGAAAGTGATTCATCTCTCGTAAACCCTACTATATAATACATATTTCAAGATGATTCATATTGAGAAATGGTTCATCTCTCGTAAACCCTACTATATAATTCATATTTTAAGTTGATTCATATTGGGAAGTGATTCATCTCTACGTAAACCCTACTATATAATTAGTTGATTCATATTGGAAAGTGGTTCATCTCTCGTAAACCCTGCTATATAATTCATATTTTAAGTTGATTCATATTGAAAAGTGGTTCATCTCTCGTAAACCCTACTATATAAATCATATTTTAAGATGTTGATTTACTTGCTAAGAATTTTTTTTTTTGGTACGTTCTTAAGATTGATAGATTTGATCTAGTTTTGACTTTTGACCAAATCTAATGTAAATATTTTTACATATGGAATGTTATTTATAAAATTTCAAACATTATTTTGTAAGACCATTCCACGCCAACTATAAATATGTTTCTTTTGGTCCTTAATATTTCACCCCTCCATTGCTTTCTCTAATGCAAAATTGAGACCTAGAGATTTTCAAGCACAACTTCTTTCTCTCTATTTTTCACACATAACAGTGAGCTCCAACGTATAAGCACAGGTATGACATTTTTTCATATGTATAAATTTTGGATCTAAAAATTTCACAAACTTTCTAATAGATGATTTTCAAAAATAGAATTGGTTCAAGTAATTCAACATGTCGGTGGCGTCAAGGCACAAAATTCCATTACAACATCCCATTACACTAGTAGAATCGTTACTTCACTCAAATGAAAAATCAAAAATGATTATCTTGATCCAGATTTTCATTGTTACGATAAGCATAAAATATCTATTTCTGTATTCTCACAGTATATTTGAGATACATACATAGATTATTCATTTGAGTAAGATAACGATTCTCTTAGTATTGTGGACAGTTGTAATTGAATGTAGTGCATTTGTTGACAAAGGCCTATCGAATTACTCGAACAATTTCTATTTTTGGGATTTCATTTATCAAAAATATTGTAAAGTTCTGAAAACCAATTTATAGGTGTGAGAAATAATACGATATCGTTGCTTATATGTTGGGGGTTTGACTTGTATTATAAGTTTATTAAAATGTGTTATTCATCAATAAAACTTGTATTATCTGTAAATAATTAAAATTGTACTATAAATGTATAAAAGTAATCAAGTGAAAAAAAATATTATTTGCTATAAGTAGTAAGTATTTTTTATTTATAGTATATTTATATAAGTTTCCATTTTATTTGCTTCTTCCCGTTTTACTATTTCTTTCATTTTTTGTGATTAGCTCGAAATTTAAATTTTTTAAAATAGCTTCTTTTCGAGTGAGTATTGCTACAAACAATTAGATACATATTAAGGAACCTAGATTTGAAATTTAGAGTAATTTGGTGTAAGGTTTTTTTTAGGTGTTTCGGATGAATCTAGTGCTAAAATTCAAGAAAGAAGACGAAGCAGATTTTGTATAGTAGTACAACATTGTATATTAGTGTATAGGTGTGTATAAACAGCTTTTAGAATTTTATATATCGTTGTATATTAAGTGTATAATGTTGTATATCAAATTTATAAACATTGTTATAAAACAAAGTGGTATATATTGTATATCTATGTATAATGTTATAGACCAGAAATTTTAAAGAGAAAATTGTATATAATGGCAAACTGATAAATTAAATTAATTGTTATAACCACCCTTTGATTTAATTGTGCCTCGTAGCAAACTTTTTGTCAGTCACCTCTCTCCCTCAAGCTCTCGCTCGCTACTCTCCTCTCTCGCTCCATCTCTCGCTCGCCACTCTCCTCTCTTGCTCCATCTCTCGCTCCATGTTTCTATATGTATAAAGCTAGAGGAAATTGTATAAATACATATATTTTTGTTCCCCTCTCTCCCCTCTCCCAGATCTCGCTCGCCAACCTCGCCTCTCTCGCTTATACGAACAGAAAAAAAATGTATAAATTGTGTTTCTGCTTGTATAAAGCGAGAGAAAATTGTATATACACATGCAAATACATATATTTTCATCCTATACACTTATAATTATACAATAAAAATACTCCCCTGTGCAGTTTCTTTTGTCTTTCTCTCTTTCTCGTTTTATACAAATTCAAATTGTATATAATTCTCTCTTTCTCGTTTTATACAATTCGATTCAATTATATATTCGTTGTCCAAGTCTCTTTTGCCTCTCTCTTTCTCATTTTATACAAATTTAAATTGTATATAATCGTTCTACACAGTTATAATTATACAATTTATTTTTTACACTTCGTTTATGCAATTCTCTGTCCAAGTCTCTTTTTTTATCTCGTTTTATACACTTCCTTTTATACAACTCGCTTAAATTGTATATGTATAGCGAATTATACATATATATGTTTGTTATAGAGTGCAATTATGCAAACTTTGTTATAACATACAAATATAAATTTTATGTTTGCTATGTGTAAAAGTTGTCCATTTTTAAATACCGTTATAAAAAATAGTAAAATAGTGGTAGGATGATTACTAGAAATGTGGTTTTTGTGCAAACTATTATTACGACAAAAATGTTTTCCTATTGGGAATGAGCTTAAAAAAAAAAAAGGGCTAAAGAATTGTTATGTAAGTTGTTAGCTATGTTTTTACAAAATAAGTTAGAAGATTGTGTTTTTCTAAAAATTTCCCTAAATAAAGATGGCCACTCAACTATATATAACTTCTTTTTTTACAAAAAATACGTTATTTTATGCTACAGTGGGAGCATACTCAACAGAACAAAAAAATTCGAATTGGCATGATACGAAACCTATTAAGACAAGCTCAAAGTCCACAAATCCCCCAATTGACACCACTGAATAAATTACTAGCAACAGCCACAAAACCACATCAAACAATTCAAAGCATGACAAACTCGACTTAGCTTATAATGTTTCTAAGATGAACTTTATGGTAACACCAACTTCTTGTTGATCAATCAGCTTGGGACAATGACATATGATCAGTGTTAACTACATGAAATTTTGGAAATTGACAAATGAAATTGCACATATAGTTGATACATAATAGTCAGCTTCTTTTATAGCACAAGTTATGTGTAACAAAAAAGTTAGAAATACAAAGACATAATAGATACCCATTCTTAGCAAGTTGTTTTTACCTCATACAACAAGGGAAATGACTGAAAAGTAAAAATCGCACGCTTTAAAACTAGTTAACCAACCAAGTGAGCAAAGCAACACCATCATATGATGTTGATGCCATTGGATCATGATGAGCTAAAAAATATGGGCATCTTTGCTCATTAATCCAAGGAAATTCCAGAGATGCATAATAATAATTCACATTGAGAACAAGAATTCGACTGTAACTTCAAACTATCATTTCCCTTGAGCCTGTCTACTCTTCCACGTTAACCAGTTCATACTCGACTAAAGAAAGGTTGTTCTCCTGGTTAACATCAAAATCAGCTGGTTCAGTAACCTCAACACGACCCCATTTGTCTACTGCAAGTCGCATGGCACCCTTGAACATATCTATCTTTGCATTTCGCAGAATGACAGTCGACCCAGGCTTCATCATATCAACTGAATATGAAAGGAAATACATGAATATCCAGAACATAAAACCATCACAATATACCGGGGAAAAAAAAGTAAGTACTCTGGTTTGGGCACAGAACCACATCAAACAGTTCAAAGCAAGACAAACTCCAATGGCCAATAGATATGTATATTTTACAGGCAGCCTCAGATCTCAATAAACAAATGAATCATCAATGTAGTCAAATAGACATGCCAAACACATCAATAGCATAAAGCAATATTTCTTCAACAACAACATAACTCATGTAATCCCATAAGTGGAGTCTGAGTAGGGTAAGATGTAATAAACCAAAATTTCTCCATGAAAAGAAAATGTTTAAGTATTTGCTATCTTAAAAAGAGGGGTTAATAGCTACTCATTTGTTCCCATTTGTTTGTCTGAGTTACTATTTCAACCATTAATCGCATATTTTCTTTGATCATAACGTTTTCAAATACTTTCTAGATATTTTTGAATTATAACAATTGTGACAATAATTTGTGTAGTTTCTAAAAATGTATATGTTATTTCAAAAATATTGAAGATTCTATGTCCAAATTCACACCGATCATTAGTTAGTTTGACCCTTGTACTCCGTATCAAGCCAAACCAATTTAAACAGAAAGAGTAGTACATTGACAAGTGAGGGATTGTCTAGCGGAAACGACTCTTCACCTCAAGCAAATAAGTTTGAGGTCGTCATAACTCACGAAGATATCAAAGCAGGAAAATGACATTGCTGGCTCCTAAGCAAGGAGGTCCAGGGGCATTTTAAACTAACCGGTTCAAGCTCCGTTCAAAACCGAACCCACGCCCTGTTTACTGTAGGTTAGAAAGATAGTCAGGAAAGTCCAGATAATGGAATGCATTCCTATCCATTAAACAGAAAGTTCAACAAACAGAAGGTGGCACAGTAGGGTAAGCTAAAATGCTTTTAGATACGAGTTTCCGGTCCACCTATTGCTTCCTAACAAGATGAGGTGAATAGGTCGATTCTAAAGCACAATGTTTATAGAGTATAGACCTACAAATCGAAACATTCCCTTCACCATAATTATGATACTCTATGAAAATATAGACACAGCAAACAAGCTTATTGTTTAGAGTTCTGAGCAAGCCAGATTAAGACACAAGTTAGATTTCCCAATTACACAATTAAACTCAACTCAGTTATACGTATATACTAATATAAAACATGAAAATAGATCGACATCCTTCGCAAAATATAAAATGCACTCATTTGTATTAGATTTCTCCAGATATAACTGTCATTTGCAGGTTTTCTCAAACAATTGTAATCACCACAATCAGTGCATAAAAAGGTCAAATTTTCGAAAAATTGAAACAAATACAAACGAAAGGTAGCAAATTATACGACAAATAAAATCCATTTCCGAGAATTAGAGATTATTTTGTACATACCCTGTTCATTACGAGCAGTGAAGAGGATGCACCCGGTTTCATCACCGACAAGGCACTCGGCGAGACGCACCGGACCACGAGGATTTAACGACGCCGATGATCTACCACCTCGGTTGGCACCGCCGGTGGCTTTGACGGCATTCGAATCAACAACCTTAACAGTCAAGTTGTGTCCATGTGTCCCTGGCTTTAAGCTTTCCGCTTTGACGAAAACAGGCTTCTTCTTCTCGGAAGTAGCTGCCGTACTTGGTGCCGCCGCCGCCGCTGCTGGTGTTGCCATTTCCGGTACGAAACCTTAAACCCTAATTTCAAAAAAATTTTGGAAGAACAATTCGGTGGTGTGTGAAGAAAAAACAAAAGTGATTTTCGGGTCTTTAAGTGGGCCTCTTGTATTGACTTGGTTCCACGTCTTCGCGTGTGCCCAAAAAAACAATTTAATTCATTATTGGGGAAAAAAGCAAATGCAAAATAATTGGTAGTATCAATTATCTTATTTTTATGTCTCTTTTCAGAAAATATTTTTACTTTTATCGAGATGTCTATTCAAATAGTAAGAAGACAATAATTTTTATTTTTTTTTTATAAATTTGTGTATAAACACATATCGCAAATTGGGATCGCTCGCCAGCTAAATTAAATTGGAGCAACATATTATGTCTAGTATTATACATTCTTTAACAAGATTGACACATTAGGTATATGTTTCCCATTTAGGTATAATATTGTATAATGTCATATAATATTGTATATTTGTGACGTAATTTATTATTGGAGAAAAAGGCATAAAGGAAGTAATAGTCATCTTACTTCTATGTCTTTTTTCATAGAAGATCTTTATTTTTACGTATGATATATCAGAAAAAGTTATTTTACTACTATTTAAATTGTAAGAGGTTAATAAATTTCAGTTTCTCTCGTATAATAAGCACTTCTTATATATTGTTATACACTCTTATACAAGATTGACACATTATATAGTAATATCTGAGGTATAATTTTGTATGATATTGTATAATGTCATATAATATTGTATAATAGCTACGTGACTAATATTTTATGTTGGCATGTACACCTTTAAGAAATCTCAAAAGCTTTTGCATGTGTATTCAAGCGTCTATTACGTAAATAAGTTAATCGCATAAAATATTTTATTATTTTTTAATCTTAATTAGAATAAGCGTGAGATTTAACGACTTTATTATGATTAATGTCTATAATTAAAGGATTAACATATTAAAGTGGTTGACCTACCTATGTAATGAGTGCTCTAGAATGTGTAAAAACTTTTTTGGAATTGAACAGAAAATGTTTAATAATTACATTGTATCATATATTCAGGTGTTCAAATACAAAAAACTGGAGTCTAGGAAACCTCTTACAATTTGAACAGAGGAAAATGACATCTTTCAAAAATTGTGTAAAAATGAAAATTCCTCGTAAAAACATTATAGAACTTAAAAAATAATCGTGAATGGCTAAGAATTATTTTTTCTTTTAACTTTCGAGTATATAAATAAAATTTAGTGGCAAATTTAAGTAATTTGTAAAGTATGTAACTGTTCTATTTATTTATGGATCAAGTATAAATTTGAACAAATATAAGGATCAAGTAACACATGCTTAAAGCACTAAAACATCCTTGCATCTCATTTTTAGTACAAATAACACACACATTGTATAACAATAACAATAATCTACGCCTCAATTCCAAATAAGTTGGGGATCGGAAAAACGAATGCTCACTTCTATCATCAAGAAAATACATAAATAGAACAGTGGAAAAGAAAAGAAAAGATTTCTTTATTTCCAGAAGAGCACCATAGTTCTTCTTCCTTGTTTTGTTTGGATATACAAAAGTACAAGGACATACAACAAGGTTTTCTTCTTACTTGATAGATTGAGAAAAATAACAAGATGGGGTTATTATGTTAGTAATTATAGAAGTGATACATTTTGTATAGTGCACAATTATGCCTCTTTTTTGACAGGTTCTAACACAACCAGTGCCTGCTGCTGCTCTTCTTCCTCTTCAGCCATTTCTTCGTCGACCTTTACCTCTTCGTGTTGTTTACAGTATCTGAATATTACTAGACATATAAATGCTGCCAAAAACCAGAGACCAACACTCTTTAGTTCAGTCTGAAAGTTCAATTTAAGGTAAGTAACTTTCATTTGCTAGAAAGATGGTGACACTCTTTAGTTCAGAGTGAAAGTTCAATCCAAGGTAAGTAACTTTCGTTTGATAGAAAGATGGTTTGTATCAATGGCTTATGAATGATGCCAAGAACCGGAAAGAAAAACACTTTTTTTAAGTTTAGTGTGGAAGTTCAATCCAAGGTAAGTAACTTTCATTTGTTAAAAGGGAAAATGCACAAGTACTCAACCTATGCCCGAAATTCCAGAGACACACTTATACTATATTAAGGTCCTATTACCCCCTTGAAAATATTTTATAAGTAATTTTCTACCCTTTTTGGCCTACGTGGCACTAACTTGAAAAAAAAGTCAATCAGCGTTGGCCCACAAGATACTGCACGTAGGCTGAAAAGGGATAGAAAATTATTAATAAAATAAGTTCAAGGGTAATAGGACCTTAGTATAGTATAAGTGTGTCTCTGAGATTTCGGGCATAGATCGAGGAGGTATTTGTGCATTATCCCTTGTTAAAAAGATGGTACTTGTATCAATGGCTTATGAATGATGCCAAGAACCGGAAAGAAAAACACTTTCTAAGTTCAGTGTAGAAGTTCAATCCAAGGTAAGTAACTTTCATTTGTAAAAAAGGTGGTAATTATATAAATGGCTTATAAATGATGCCAAGAACCGAAAGAAACACTACTTAAGTTCAGTGTGGAAATGAGACTTCCATTTGGTAGAAAGATGCTAATTGTAACTTATGAGCGATGCCAAGGAACGGAAAAAAAAACACTTTTTAGTTCAGTGTGAAAGTTCAATCTAAGGTTGGTAGCTTCCACTTGTATTAGAAAGGTGCTAAATTGTACAAATGATGATCTTATGAATGCTTCCAAGAACCACGAAAGTACCTTTTAGTTCAATGTGAAAGTTCAATCCAAGGTAACAACCATTTGTTAGAAGATGCAACTTTGTAAACATGGCTTAGAGAATTGGTTCAATCAAAGGTATCAAAATAATAAACGAATAGCTTCGTGAATTACCTGTAAAGATTCGTGTTCTGACAGTGGTAAGGTTCCAAAATGCTGTCAATACTGATGCAGCTATCATCTTCTTGTGAGAGCAATTACCCCAAGTTTCCAGCAACCGATATTTCATATACTTGGCTGTATCAAAAAAATACGCACTCTCATTCAATTAATGCAAAAAGTAGATGCAACCATCACTCAGGAAATAATCTAAGAATCTCCATATCAAGCTGAAACACTTATTTACCTTTACTATATATCTGATGAGAATACGAGGAATAGAGTTTCGGAGCAATAAAACTGATGAAAAAACCTGTCACAAGATTGAAGAACACCAACAAGTATTTAGTGTCTATTGTTTAGAGATTTCGAACTAATAGTCTGTACTTGGGGCAACTGAGTGATCTTTCTTACCAAGGGCACAAAGCCTCCATACAGTTATCAAATGTCCATACTCAGCTCCAATTATCAAGACTGGCACTAACTAAAACAACAGACAAGCACATTTTGAATCAATTACAAGAATTCAAAAATATTAAGTTCAATAAAACTCAAGGCTCAGATAACATACTTTGAGGGTCATAGCAGGTTCGCCTGAAAAAAGATCTCGTGTTTTTGAAATTGCAAGATTTGCAGCTGGAAGTATCAATCTTCCCATTCTCAAAATGTCATCTTCAGTCAGCTGAAATTCGCGCTTCATTTCTCTACCCTCTCTGCAACTCAATAATTGATCAACACTCAGCAACAACAGTAGGAACTAAATAATATACTAGTATAAGGAATTTAAGCCTTTACCTTTGGCGAATCGAATGTGAGAAGAATGAAACAACTAAAAACAGTAACCCCAATTGCGATACGATAGAGAAAATGCTGCAATCAAGAATAAACAAAAAATGTCATATGGATAACACTTGCTAAATAAAAAGTGGGATATTTGGAAAATGAGAAGAAAATATACCTAAAAGTAACTCCTTTGGCAAAACAAGAAGATAAGAAACAGAGAGACCCCAAACCAAACCAAAGACTTGATCTTGCCACATCTCTCCACATCACCAAATCACTTACAAGTATCTCAATTCTGTTTATTAAATCACACCCTTCTCCTTCTTTTGATTCTATAACTCGAAAAAACAAAACACCCATTAAGCATAAGAAATGAAATATGTATTTAAAACAATAAAGATTAGATTTTGATGATACATACTTGTTGGATTTGAAACAACCAAGCGAAGCTTATCCTTCTTAGATTTACCATTATTCCTCTTCTTTCTTGGTTTAACCACTTCTTCAACTAACCCCAAATCCCTCTCTTCTCTCATTTCTTGCTCTAACCTTCTTCTCGATCTTCGATTATTACGCGGGGAAGCACCAATTGCAGAATTTCTACTCCTTCGCCTCCTTCTAACCCCATTAGGCTCAACCCCGTCATCAACTAACTCAAGCTTATCAGCAAGACGAGTCTTGGATCTTCGAAGAGGAGAAGGAGAAAGAAGGAGAAGCTCGTGGAGCGGTAGAGCATTACCATAAGGAGAAACTTCTATTCTTGGTGAAGGGACAATTTCAAGAGAGACTCTTGGAGTGGGAGATTCGCTTTCTTCATCGTAACGACGGAGTCTTGAGAGTCTTGAAGCTGATTTTGTTCGGCTTCGAGTCTCGGATCGATGAGATGGAGGAGTTGTATCCATAGTTGAGAATCAGAAGTTACAAAATTTTCAATATATTTTGTTTTGTTCTTGATTTTTTGGTTGAAGATTGTTCTTGGTGGGATTTTGAATAAAATGTAAACAAGAAAAAGAGCCGTTGGAGGAAATATACAATAATTTATCTTTTCGGCCTTTGAATATATTTTAGCGGCGGAATTTGGGCCCGTTGGGCTTTTTGGTTTAACGGTAGGGAAGAGGAGGCAAGTCCGTTATGTTGCTTTTGACATTTGTGGCCTTTTTGTGCTCTTGGCTTTTAACAGCCGCAGTTTTTGGTAATACTTCAATGGAAAAATTATGTGATATGACAAGACTTAAACCAACTATAATTATCTATTTTAATACTCTAGTTTATATTCTTTCTATAATAGTTAATACAATACTATTTTGAAATGTATAACAATACTTGTCTTGATTTTAAATTTATTTGTTTTTTATTATATTTTTCTAGATATTGTTTTCATTATATTTAAAGAATGATATAATAAAATCACTATTCT